CACAATTACACTAATATTGACCTTTCCTCTAACTCCCACAACTCCTGCCAAAGCCTCTACTTTATCTTTGTCCACTTCTACTAACTGACCCAATCGGTGATGGAACTGCAAGCTGTAAACACTATTTTCATAGGTAATGTCTGTCAGTGTTACCAACTGCACGTTCGTATCCAGTATGTTAGATTTCAAACAGAAAACTTGCTCGTACTTGCAACAGTGAAATGGCCTGAGGGGAACATGCACCACAACTGCACACATATGATATCCAGTATGCATGGTGTAATCTGCCACATGTAGCAAATTCTAATTACAACAAATAATAGGAACGTTCAAAATGCAAAGATAGTACTTTTCTCTTTTTTGCCTGCAAGGACAAACCCTCCCTCCTGACCTCTTTTAACTTCCAACTTTAAAGCTGCATGATATTAGCAAGTAAAAAAAAACAAGTAAAAAGACAAGATTTATGAATTGTATACATTAGACAAATCTCTGGATTTTTCTGTCACATCATCTCCCACATACAAGTATGCAGATTCTTTTTTTTATTAGTAACCACAAAAATGTTTACCATTTCTGGCATGGACAAGGGGCACTTCGCTGGTGGTCTAAAAAGCTAGCAGAGCTCTATGCCTCAGCTGGGAAAAACCTTTATAACATGTTCTCTGATTGTCCTCATGTGGCTTGATGAAGAATCACGGAAGGATTGTTGTCATTTCTTAGGGGAAGATACAATACTAATCAATGCTGGCTTTCACTGGATACTTATAGAATTCAAATTTATAGCTTGCTCTCTTTATTAAATAGAGGTCAAAACCTTGTGATATTTTTATTTGTAATTTTTTTAAATTAAAGGGACACTATAGTCACCAGAACAACTACAGCTTATCGAATTTGTCCTGGTGTGTAGAATCATTACCTTCAGGCTTTTTGCTATAAACACTGTCTTTTTAGAGAAAATGCAGTGTTTACATTACAGCCCAGGGATAACTTCACTGGCCACTCCTCACATAGCTGTTAGAGATCCTTCCTGGGTCATGGCTGCCTAAAATGCATCCAAACATTCAGTGTCTCCTCCCTCTGCATGCAGACACTGAACTTTCCTCATAGAGATTCATTGATTCAATTCATCTCTATGAGGAGATGCTGATTGGCCAGGGCTGTGTTTGAATCATGCTGGCTCTGCCCCTGATCTGCCTCTTTGTCTGTCTCAGCCAACCTATGGAGAAGCACTGTGATTGGATCAGGTTACCACTTCTGATGATGTCAGCAGACTGCTTGTTTTTTTGAGGCAAATAGCATGCAGATCTACAGCTTCAAGCTTGAATACAGTAAGATTCTGCTATATTTATGGAGGCATGAGGGGCCCATGGGGGCTAGGTGGTGGTTTAACACTATAGGGTCAGGAATACATGTTTGTGTTCCTGACCCTATAGTGATCCTTTAATGTTGGAAATTTTGTTTTCGCTTACGTATGGCTTAATTAAAGCTCACCAACATAACTCTGTTATATTAGTCACATAAGTGGAACAAATGTCTGTTTTTGACCGATAAGTCAAAATAATATGCGAAGGACTTGGTTAAATATGCAGTTAATATTTAGGTTCAAGATATACATTTGTTCTTCAAACTATCTTCAACCTAAATATTAACTGCATATGAAAGACATGATTGTTAAAGGTAATGATTGTTAAAGAAAAAAAATAGGGTTGGTGTTTCAGATTAACGAATATGGGAGGATTGGTTAAGATTATGGGAGTCTTCTAATAATCTTGAAAATGGCTGGTTGTCATGTGAGTGCCTTATCAATGAAGTGCACTAACAGTGAAATACAGTCTAATTTTGTTTTTGTGCATTCTTAATTTTTTATTTATTTCTGTTTTCCAACATAGGTGGCTGTAAGGAAAACAACAGAATTCCTCCAAAGTCACACCAGTTTTCCATGGAACATTGTCTGATCTCCCACATAATATGGCTGTTTATTCTGCTTCTGATTCAAAGGTGAGCAAGGTCTCAGCCTTTCTTTTTTACACTTAACTAAGGCTGATTTCAGAAGACATCTTATGGCTTCTAAATTTAATAAATATTTCCCCCCACCCCATTCCACACACACAAAAAATGAAGTCGCCACGTGAATCCATGAGAAGGAAAATAATGTAGATGAGATGTCAGACCTAGTTAACTCACAGAACATCATGATCCTGGAGTTACATGGCTGGATAAGGTTTCTACAACTTCCAAGGAGGACCTTACCAAACAGAGCTGATGGAAACGGTTACGCTGGTGTCACGATTACACTTACCTGGAGGTCCCTCGTCGCGTCTCTGTCCCAGGCTGCTGCGGATTTCCCTTAGCACATGTCGAGAACTCTGGCATGCTCAGCTGCAGGGACAGATAGCCAACATCCCTGCGGCATATGGACGCAGTACTGTTGCTCTCCACACTATGCCACAGCCCGCTGGAGGTTCCAGCCAAACCTACATGGGAACTCTACAGACTCATGCGCTCCTGAAAACTGGCCTCTTAAAGGGACAGAACATCTGAAATCTTTTAAAAGGACTAATCACTTTTCAGCCTATATAATCTCAGTCTACCCTTACCTCGGTGCTCAGTTATACTGTGCTCTTTGGTGTGTACAAGTCTGTGAATCCTGTTATCATCTGATCCTTGACCTACCTACCTGTTATATCATTATACCACATCGCAGCAGCTGGACACCATGTTGTCCGAGATATTTTCTGGCCTTGCCCTAATATCGCACCTGACCCATAAGTTGCTCATGGATAGAGCTAACCAGCTTTACCCTTCTCAACCCAGGGAGACATGATTTTGTGAATGCACTACTTTAGCTCAAAATAACTTATTATGTAAACTCCAAGGAATTGGGACCCACATGTGTACTCAACATTAAGCTTCTTCCATAACTTGGCCCCCTTGACTCTCTGTAAAAGACAAGACTTACACCTGTTTTTTCTTAAGTTAATATAGCTGACATGTTGGATCACCTTTTCCATTTGGTGGTTGGCCACAATAGCCAACTATACTCCTTGCAAGAGCTACAAGAGGCTCTTAACTTGCCAAACAACTGGGAATCACTGTGCAGTAGCCTGGAATATGGGGATGCAGTTACACCATATGGCTATTTTGTGTTGAGTCCACCACAGTCACAGCACCCCAATATTGGTGGATTCTACTCTAATTTTAACATGGGAGATGAACATGCATACTGCAATACTTACTCTGCTTAAATGGCTTCCAGAGACTCTCCTCAAATATATGCTTTCCTGTGATCACCTCTTGTCTTCTTCACTCCTCTTATTTAATTGGATCATGAAATCTGATTCCTAATAGTGTTAACTTGACTGTACAAGGACCCTGTTAATAAGATATGAATTTTAAATTAGCAATGTAGTGTATAATTTAAATTAGCAATGTAGTGTATATCTATCCATACTTCTTTAAATGCCACTTTTTCAATTGAATTTTTGCGTTGAGACGAAATAACTTTTTTTTTTTAGGTTTTAAGTCCAGTGTGAGCCATTCTCTGTGTGTGTGGATCTACCCCTGGAAATTATACTAACCTCTTTTAATTCTTACCATTTCCATAGCATTTTGTGAGACAATGAGTAGGATTAGTGGACTGGACTGCTCTTTATATTTTACTTATATTTCCCAACTCACTCATTCTTCTGTTTTTCTTTTGCTCTAACCTCTATCTTTTGTACAGCTTTCTTCCTTTTCCACACTCGCAGTTTCTTCCTTTCCTAATTTTCACATTTTTTTCTTTTTAGTGTGGTCTCCCTCCAACCTATATTCTTGTTATCAAGATTTTGACTTTATTGTTTTTTTTCACTCTCTTCTATATTTTTATAGATACCAAGACGCAAGCACAATCATATTTAATACATCACCTTTTTATTGAATCTTTGTTAATTTTCTCTGCATTTCTGCATGAGTGATTATGCTATTTTGGTTAATAATTGGTTTTTAGGCTGTTTGTTTTACTTTATGTTTACTTGAATTTTTTTTGTATTGTTTTCCCTGGGATAAGTTTTGTTTTTTTGTCAAACAATGCATGATCTATATCTAGATTAGGGGACTAGGCAGTCAAACAGCAGTTGAAAATTAAGAAAGAGAAATATAAAGTTATGCATTTTAGGGCGAAGAGTACAAAAGCAACTTACATTCTTAATGCTAGTGAATTAGGGATAACAACACATGAAACTGATTTTGGAATTGTAATTGACAGCAAACTAGGCATCAATGTGCAATGTCAATCAGCATGTGATAAGGTCAGTAAGGTATTGTCATTAAAAGGTGAATTAATTCTCAGGATGGAAATACGGTTTTGCCTTTTTGTAAATCACTGGTAATACAACACCTTATGCTGTGTAGAAGAGAAAAAAGGAGGAAACTGCGCCTTATATGAGTTATATATACATACACTTGATGTCTCTTAGTAGTTGCGGATAATTTATCCTCAAAAAGAAAACAGAAAAAATATATACAATAGTGTAATATGTTTAACAATTTCACACTTCTGATGAAGCCATTGGCGAAACGCGTTAAGTGATATTTTATATAGCTTTTTATTTTACTCTATTTGTACTACTATTAAATATATTTTTTAAAGCTATACTCTATTTTCATTATATTTTATTTGTACCATCAAACTTCCTGGCCTGTATATCCTACAGTGGGGATCATACCACTGCAAGCCCTATATAATAGAGCAAGTTTTCTGCTCTAGTAAAGGTGAGTATAAATATTTTTATTTATTTATTTATACTTGGAGTTGGAATTACTACACTATTGGAGTTTCCTGTTTTCCTTTTTATCTGTACCACCATACCATTGGAGTACCTAGGACGTTGGACCTCTTATCCTAAGACGGGGATTGTACCGTCCATGCCAATCACGGTAGAGCTCCCACAGTAGCTCTACCAAATGTGAGTGTAAAATACCTCCATTCTATTTATCACTTTTTTCTAATATTGTTAAACATATTACACTATTGTATATATTTTTTCTGTTTTCTTTTTGAGGATAAATTATCCGCAACTACTAAGAGACATCAAGTGTATGTATATATAACTCATGTAAGGCGCGGTTTCCTCATTTTTTCTCTTCTATACTGTTTCTTATCAAGGCTGGGAATCCTTGTATTGGTTACTGCTGCCTATTTAACTGTTTATCTTTGGAGTGAGCACCCGACACATCTCTTCTTTACCTTATGTTGTGTAATTTGGTCACTTGTTCTAAAGAAGCCTATTATGGCACTAGAAAAAGTGCAGAGAAGGGCTACAAAATTAATAAGAAAATGTAAGTTTTTAATTATGAAAAAAAGCTAAGAAATGTAAAACTGTTTAGTTTAGAAAAAACTGCTCCCCAGAGGAGTAATGACAGCATTGTACAAATATATGTGGGGCCAATACAAACCATTGTCTGGAAATCTATTCATATTCATATTAGGACTATACACAGGACATGAATTTAACTATTTAGACATGAAGAAAGGAGATGTAATCTAAGGCAAAAGAAAGGGTTCTTTGTAGTAAGAATAACAAGGATGTGGAATTCCATGCCTGAAGAAGTTGTTTTATCAGACTGTGTACACATCTATAAACAGCAATTAGATTAATTCTTGCAAAAACATATTCAGGGATATAATTTGTAATATGTCAAGTAACAGCTCTTGATCAAATGAGAGGTCTAACTGCCAATCTGGGGATGAGAAGGAATTTTTTCCTAGCTTGTTGCAAATTGGAAATCAACAGCAAAACGGATGTGAGAAAAGCTGAGCTTGATGAATGCAAGTCTTTTATGTAACTATGTATGTGAGCTACAAATTTAATAAGAAAAATGGAAAACATTAGTTATGAAGAAATGCTGCATTTTTTTTCTTTTAAAAAAAAAAAAAAAAAAATTGTGTTACAGATAGGATATGATCGCACTACAGAAATATATGCAGGGTCAGTACAAACCACTATGTGCTAAACTATTAAATAGGATGAATATATGACAGACAAGAGGTCCTCATTTGTGACTGGAAGAAAGACAGATATGATTACAGCAGTGGAAATGGTTTCTGTACAGTAAGAGCAAAAAATGATGTGGATATCTATTCACAAAGAGGTTGCCTTCTCGAATTCTGAAGATATATATAAAAAAAATTTTTTAAATTCTGTGTTTTCAAGCTAGATTATTAATTACTACAGTTGCCGTGGCGGTGCACTAACAGCTAAAAGGTAACTAATAACCATTTATTTTTACTTTTCAGGGGGCCCGGGCTATCTAACAAATGAAGAGATATCTCTAACATTAGAAATTCAGGTTTTTATTTCTAATGTCATAGTGTTCCTTTAACTATACCATATTCTCTCAAGCCACAGATCACATGGAGAAATAATAAGTCAGTTGGTCTCCACGGTAAATATCTTGGTTTAATGTAATTAATGTATTTTTTTCTCATTGACCTTATTTTAAAAAAAACACGCAAAGTACAGTCTAGTAAATGTTCTGAGATTGCACTTATATTTATTTATTAACTTTAAATTGCACTGAATCACAAAAACTGAATAGCGGGTTTGAAAATGAAATTCAGTGGAAACATGTAATTCAGCTACTTGGACATACATTTTGCAATTATTTTTCAACTCAACACAGTTCACAGGTTAGTGGATAAACTTCACTGATGTATGCAGCTTTGCATACAGTAAATGGCATAGAGTGTGTTATAAAGGGAAAATCTTTACAAACAGAGACTTGGGAAGATTTCCATGAAAAATAAATCACATTAGCAGACGGTCAGGAAAGGTGCTCTAGCAAAATCAATAAAAAAAACACATGTGCAAATATATTCCGTCGTTGCAAAAGTTGAAGCAGAGGAAACAGAAAAAATATAATCACACGCAAACCTACAAGGGATTCTCTTGAGTTGCGATAATGGCACAACGCAACAACATTGTACTGATGCAATAACCCTTCACAATAATTACAACTATTCCATTAAAAGGAAAGAAATCCCAATATTAATGGGGGATTTTTGAAAAAAAAAAAAAAAATTGATCATTCTTTAAGTAGAGTGCTTGGTTTTCTGAATACCTGCATAGAGATAGGAAGATTTAAATATTACTAAAATAAACCAAAAAGTGAAAGGTCTGTGAACAAAGCCAAGCAATGTTTGTTTCCGATTGAAATGCAAATTGAATATATTGTGCTTGGGAAATTGGAAATATATGAATGTGTGAATACTTGACCGATGATATCAGCTGCCTCCTCCAATATGGCATCAACAGAAGATGTGGAAACATACAATCAGATTTAACTCGCAAATTGTGAATACAGCATCAGACAGTGACCAGCTTGTGGACATAGCATAGGCATATTGCCATGCAAACTGCATCTTTTTAAGGAAGATACTATATACACATAGGAGTGACAAAAGAATAGTAATAAAAGTAATAACATCTTTACAATATATTTATCATCAATTTTTTCACGCAATAGATGGATGGAATAGTATTATCATTAAAGTAAAACTATGTTAACTGTAAATTAGTCGTTGCTTTTATTCTATAAAACAAAAAATAAAACAAAGCAAAAGTATCAGATATAAAAAAAGTACATAATAATTAAACAGTAAAATGAAAACAAATGAGAAATAAAAAAACAAAATACTAAGCTAAAGGGTTTCTTTTTTTGAGCTGGAGACCTTTGTATGTAGAATGCCCTATTGGGTACTATTAATTAATGCGCAATAGAGTACTAATTAATACCTCCTTATGTCAGCAGGGCCTTGGGTGGTCCAATTACAGGCCTCTTATATCTCCTATAAACACATTGCACCCTCTAAAAACACTACACCCCATAGACAAATGCACAGAAGTGCGCTCTCTCTCTACAACCCCTAGAGAGGCAGACACACAATCTCAACAGCGACTAGACTCACAAACTTTATGGTTACTGGAAACACATACACGCTACAGTCCCTAACCACAGAAAATACACCACAAACAAACGACTGCCTCTACGCACATGCATAATCACCAAGGCTGTGTAAATACGGAGTTTAACAGAGCTCTCCGCATAAGATGCCCTGGAGGGACAGTAAAGTAACATGTTCAATTTGAGGTGGCATGCGTCTTATTGTTGATGGCATGACATGCGCCCTCTCGCCCTCACCCCCTGCCACTGGGCTGCTTTACCTTCAAATACCAGGCCTAATTCTTTTTCCCAGTACAGCCCTGGTAAAGTGCTAGATTAGGAGCACTCTCTTAAAGGGAGTGCTGCTAATTAATATTTATTTATATATATACAGTGAGGTAAAAAAAAAATATTTGATCCCCTGCTGATTTTGAAAGTTTGTCCACTGACAAAGAAATGATCAGTCTATAATTGTAATGGTAGGTGTATTTTAACAGTGAGAGACAGAATAGTGAAAACAAATCCAGAAAAACGCATGTCAAAAAAGTTATAAATTAGGGAGCGGGGCCTGGCAGCCAAGATGGCCAGACGTGCTTGGTGATAGCTCTCGCACAATCAGGCACAAAAGCACACTTTTCATGCTCAAAAAATACTGCAAACTGCAAACACAACTTGTGCCCACTCTACGACAACAAGTGCCCACTCATATTCAGACAATCCTGTCTGCAATGCGGAGGACTATGTATCTCTACTCACTATAAGTACCCAGTGTCAATACAAACCAGGGTTTCCTATCCTCTGAATTCCTCATGTTGTTATTTTCTGTTTATTACTGTGATATATAAGCTTACAATTTAAACTGGTTTTCTCCACCTATATAACAAAAAATGTGCAATGCTTTTGACACCATAATACTACTGTTAACACATGTGTAAAAATCGACTTGCACCAGCTATTGTGACAGTGCATCTCAGCTTGTTTAATATCTGCACGCATAAAATAAAGAATAAAAAAAAAAGTTATAAATTGATTTGCATGTCAATGAGTGAAATAAGTATTCGATACCCTATCAATCAGCAAAATCTGGCTCCCAGGTGTCTTTTATACAGGTAACGAGCTGAGATTAGGAGCACTCTCGTAAAGGGAGTGCTCCTAATTAATATTTATTTATTTATTTATAAAATATTTTACCAGAAAAGATACATTAAGATTTCTCTCGTCTTCAAGTATGTCCTGGGTCCACAAAACATTGCATTGATACAATAGGGTACAATAAAATACAAAAACAATATTAATACACAATATATACAAAATTTAACATAGAACAGGTAGGAAATATATAATCAATCATGACAGGTGCATTCTATTTTGAGGTATGTAGAGAGGGATCTCTTAAAGGACTTTAGGCTTGGGGAAGATTTGAAAGTGTGCGGGAGGTCGTTCCATAATTGCGGTGCTCTGTAGGTAAAGGAGAATCGGGCTGCTTTCTTTTTGTATTGAGGTAGACTAAATAAAGTGCTGGTACTGGATTGGAGGTTATAGGAGGTGTGAACAGCCGGGGAGAGCATTCTGCTCAGGTAGGTAGGTTCCCAGAAAGCTCTTAAACACAAGGCTAGAAAGATGAAGGGTGCGTCTGGATTCCAGTGACAATCAGCTTAGTTCTTTTAGCATGTCACAATGGTGGGTCCTGTAATTACGTTGTAGCACAAATCGGCAGAACGGGTTATACAATGTATTGTGTTTATTAAGGAGGGTTTGCAGTGCAGGTGCATATACTATAACCCCATAATCCATAATCAATGATTGGCATCAGCATTTGCTGTACAATCTTTTCCTATACTGTAGGGCTTAGGCAGGATTTGTTTCTGTACAGGGCACTTAGTTTTGGATAAAGTTTAGATGCAAGTCTTTCTATGTGCAGGCCAAAAGATAGATTGGGGTCTGACAACATACCCAAGTATTTGAAAGAGTGGACTGCGTGCTATTTGCCAGTGTGCTATTTGAATTCATTTTGATGGATAGGTGGGAATTGTGTAATTTGTGTAATTTAGGTACTGTTCCAAAGATCATTGTGACAGTTTTGTCAGTGTTTAGGAAGAGTTTGTTTTTTGCAATCCACTTTTCTACCTCTGTAACCGCAGCTTGGAGCACAGCCTCAAGCTGTGGTAGATCGGATTTGCTTGCATAGATTACTGTGTCGTCGTGTACATTTGAGAATTTGCAAACATTAGGCAGATCATTTATAAATAATGTGAATAGTGTGGGGCCGACAATGGAACCTTGGGGAACACCACACGTGACTGGGAGAGG